CTAGGAACTTTTTGAAGAATGATGAGTGATATCAGAAATGAGTGACCCTCACAAAGCAGCTAGACCTGTGTGAAAAAATGCACCAACCTAAGTACTTTGTTTTGTGAATTAACTCCAGATCAGTAGGTTTTATTGATGCCGAGTGTCTTCATATAGATTGATTCTAACACACTTGCCCAAGTAACTTTCAAAAATGGGAGAAAAATAAGACATGGTACAATTTAAAGTATTCTCATCATTATTTTCCAGCTTAGATCTGGTACTTCTTACTGATTTTGGAGGCCACTCTGCCTCGGAAGAATGTTTACAACAAAAAAGTACCCTTGGCATCAGCCTAATCTTGCTAGTAAAATACATTTTTGTATTTTCCTGCCAGATGGTCTCTCAAAAATTTGAAACATCCAAATTGTTTACTGATTGCCTGGTGTAGTGATGAAGATATTGAACTAGGATTGGGGAGTAGAAAGACTCAAGGTCTTGCCCACCCTTAGCCACAGAAGCTTACTGGTAGATTTTGGATCACTCATTCTTAAAGAACCTCACAGGTTTGTAGTGAGATAAAATAGGAGGAGAGAGCCCTATGTATGCCTGAAGGAAAAACAAGATTCAAATAAATATAAGAAGCAAGGTCTTTTTACTATAAAGGTAAATTTAGCAAATCTAAAATTGCAAGGGTCTAAGTGACAGTCATAAGATCCAGGATTACTGAATTGGTAATTCATGAGTAGGATCACATTTAGAAACTAAACATTTGAACATGATGTGAACTTGTTATTTTCTTACAGCTCCAACTGGGAAGTTTGGTCAGTTGGCAGATTGGTGTGGGAAAGGGAGAGGCCTTTCATGCTCACAGCTTTCTCCCTCTTTTTTCTTCATAATGTTTATCTTTCATTTGTGTAAGGAGCAGTGGTGGAAGAAACTTATGTAATAATCTAAAAATTGAAAACTGATTTACTATCAATACAGAACACTGAAGTTCTCACTTTACAATAACATGGGCATTTTTGCCTTCACTTGAGTATTTTTAATAACTTGTACAACATTTCTTCTTTCAACTTTTAAAACCAGAAGTGTTCCAAAATTATTGTGTTATTTTTAGGGTATTTTTTTATTCACATCTATTAAAAGTGACAGCATAAATATTCTTGACTGATGTCACTAATTCTGCAAATTAAAATAAAAAATAATATATTATTTGTGCTATTAAAACACACATTTTCTGCTACTACTTTCTATGCTTTTATGTTTAATTTTGATGCATCTATTGTCAGTTTTCTCATGGAGCTTCACAAAAGAGGTGTATTCATCCAATCGGCATAGGATCACTGTCACTGAGGAGACCAATAATTCTGATGATAAATCCTGATTCAGAGCAGGAACATCTTCACTAACCCCCCTGACAATTAACCCACATCATCCAGATCATAAAAGAACAAATGGTGTATTACACCAATGTTGCACAACTTGGACATACTATGAAGGCAGAAATGGTATTTCAGCTTGACTGGTAGCATGCTGGAGTTACTCTCTTTAAATAGAAGTAGTCATTGTACAGTGGTCCTTGTTCTTCTGTCCTTATCAGTGAGCTAGATAAATATAGGTTTCACTAGATTTTTAAATAGCAGTAGGCTTAGGCATGAGCCTAAAAAGAGTTCAGAATATACCCATCATTTTGTGATGAGATGGAGAGGAGATAGTTGCTACTTTGAAACTAATGCAAATACCAGCTTTTAAAAATGTGTGGGGTTGGTTGGTTGAATTGTCCCTTGATATTGGGGATTAGAATGTCAAACTTCATTCCTCGTTCACTCCATTCATTGTGTTTGAAATGATAATGGCCCCAATGTATAGTTGTGAAGACACATAAGTTAACCTTGCTGAATACTGTCAATCTTGTCTAGAAGAAAAGCAGATAAAAAATTACAGAGTACTATAACCAGTGAATGCCAGCCTCCAAAGCAAAAGATGTAGATAGGAAATCATTTTGATTCAATTAGGATTCAGTGAGACCAATTAAACCTAACTCTCTTTTATTTACCCCATTAATTTAAAAAACCTAAGTATAACTAATTTAATTAGATTAGGTTTGAAATACATGCAAATTGTTGCAATTAATTTCATACACATTCTTTCTTCCATAATGCAAACTATTTAAAAAGTACTGTTTATCTCAGATGTTCTTGCCAGAGGGAGCCAAAAGCTAATTTTAAAAGTTTGGATATGATATATAGCACAATGTACAAAATAGAAATCCATTACATGTGATTCTTGAAAGTTTCTGAATTAGTGGGAACATCTGGAATTTTGAGTAATGGATGTTATCATGAAAGGCATGGTGGGTACAGATTTCTAAACTTGCTGTTTTGCCATTTGTCTTCAGCCTGTCATAAACACCTATTTCAAAAAATGGCAAATTGTGATGCAAAAAGATAAGTAAATTACTTTAGAACAGGAATAAAGTAGAAGTGAAATCTGAGCCTCAAACACTAATCTAGCCCTTTGAATTAATTTTTTTACCTTCTGTTAAGTAATAATTATAAAAATTTGTATGGTTTCTTCAAAACCAAAATACAGTAAATGCTTTCTCTCTATTCTATCCTAGTTTCCTAGTCCCATTTGTTCCCCTGCCTCATTGTCATCTCTAAATCTTGCTCCTTTTTAAGGCACTCTCAGTGTTACCAGTCTTTTCCTTCCCCCTGCCCCCCAACTAGTCAGGAGAACTTAAAAGCAAGAGTGTGCCTCCAGCCACTCCTAGCCTTTATTTCTTAAGAATTTCTCTGAGTCTCACGGGACCCAGAGGCATTCTGTGGAATAAAGATGGTAGACAGCATGGAGGTTAGCTCATTACTTTGAAGTCTTCCCTCACATAAAATAAATTGCGGATAATACCAAAGTACTTTGTAGACAGAACAGAAGATGCCTGTGGATATCATGTTGCTTATCCCCTCACAGGCATAAGGCTGCTCACATAATACAGAATTTACATTCAAGAATTCCCCCCCCCCTTTTTTTTTGGTATAATATAGTGAAAAACGATTTCAAGATGAAGGGAGAAGAAAAGATATTGCAAATCCTTCTTTTAGCAATCAATTTAGGTTGTTGTTATGTTTCAACACATTTTTGATGGACTTCCATTGTACATGCTTTGTAATTTGTAATAACGCATAACAATGCAGAACTGAGGAGATCTAAAGCTCTCTCATGCTATTGACTAAATGTTTTGGCATCAGAAGATGTTGAAGCTTTACAGCCTTAGTAGTTTTAAGTTAACTCTTGGCATTACTTTAAAACAATTATGCAAGATCTATCACAAGTACTTCTCTTATCTTATCTGAATTGCCATTCATCCTGTAAATGATTTAAACATACACTATTCCATTATTGTTTAAGAGAGATAGAAGAGGATTCTGTTAAATATTTGTACTGTGAGTTTAGTTGCTTTGAGTCAGTTTAGAAGTTTTGCATTAATGTGTCGTAAGCTCCCAAATGAATCACATTCCATATTTGCTGGCTTGTCTGTTCTGCATATTTTAATGGAAAATGGATAACAGATCCACAGTATTCACAGGTTTAAGTTAAATTGCAAGATAGTGGAATCTTCCCATCTCCCTTTTCTGAAAGCCAGTTTGGTCTAGTAATTAAGGCACCAGGCTAGAAAGCAGGAGACTCTGAATTCTAGTCCTGCCTTAGGCATGAAAGCTGGCTGGGTGACTTTCAGCCGGTCACTCTCTCTCAGCCCAACTCACCTCATAGGGTTGTTGTGGGGAAAATAGGAGGAGGAGGAAGGAGTATTAGGTATGTTCATCGCCTTGAGTTATTTATAAAAATAAAAAAGGCAGGATTTTAAAAAATCTTTAAAAAAGGATATATGCAGTTCATTGCAAACTATAATTAATCTCGGGATCTCTTGTTACATGCAGATTTCAATTTGGCACCTAAGTTCTAAAACATAGGAAGCTGTCTTACACTGTCAGATAATTGGTCCCACTGGCCCACTGTTGTCACACAGAAGAAGCAACAAACATGGGCTCGCAGGAGTCTATTGTTTTTTTCTCTCTCAGCAGACCAATACTTCAATTCTAGCTAATACAGTACCTATACTCCAGTGGTGCTGTAGAAAGGAACTGGCTGCTAAGTGAGAAGAAGGAGGGTGCTCTTATTACATGGATAACTGTTATGAAGGAACTTAAGATATCCATGAATGGTGTAACCACAATTTATTTTGTTTTGTTTCCTTGTAATTCTTAAAAAATATATATTGCATGTTTCCTTTTAATATTGTTTCAGGGCTTACAAAATGAGATTGAGAGTTACTGCAGCCAGGTTTGCTCTGCAGAAAAGAAGCTGCAACAGAAAGATCTGGAGACACAGGAACAGGTATAACACTTTTGCCTGAGAGATTTCTGCCTTTTGGAGAAAGGACAATGAAAACCACACATGCATGCCCTTGCATATGAACATAATTTCTTACTTGAAAATAACAGAAGTTTTGCTGATTTTTGTGGGATTTATATTTATTCTTATTAATAAAAAAGATGTCTGTATCCTGTGAGTGAGTTTTTACCCAGTGTCCCTTTTCCTGTTTACCTTTTCAACTGTTGAATGAGGTACTTTATTCTAAATGGGAATACTAATTTTTATATATTTATATACAGAGTATATAATTTTTGTTTATTTATTCCCAGGTATTTATTTAGGCTGCTAATTTATCAATCTTTTGGCAAGTTATACTTTCTGAGTGAAATTTTCAAAAGGAGATTGATTTATATTTGGTGTATACTTGGTTTCATGTGTCCTTAGTCTCATGTCATACATTTGTTTTAAAAATAAATCATTGTGGGAACATATATTAAGCTATGAATCAGCATTACAAGGCTGAGCAGATATATGCCTTAGGTTCACTTGTTCTCCCTTCCTTCTTGCCTGAGAAGTTCTGGTTAGGATATCTGGGGTTGCTCAAACCATGATTAGTTCACAAATTAGAATATTAAATCAGTGTTTAATTGAATGAAATTATGGCTTTATGGTTGAAATCCAGTATTGTCTATCTGCCAGCAGAACAGATAGTATTGATGGGGCAGCTTCTTTTCTGCATCTCTCTGCACAATCCCAAAATCAAAGGGTTTCTCAACCTCCTGGATTAGATTTGCATGCTGTACATACAGTGCAGGTGGGGAAGAAAAGATTTGTTCTGTTGTAGAAGCAGTTATTTATTTGTATATCTTTAGATATTGATGTAAAGTGAAAATAGAGTATACTTTTAGTGTGCTCATGTAGTAGTTTATATTTTAATTAATCATCTTTCTTTCCAGTCATATTCTTGATCTTTCCCTTGGGGGATTATTTAAAGTCATAATTCCTTTTATTCTTAATTATCTGTAATAATAATTATCTCCTTTTGAAGGAGTGAAATTGTGATAAGAGTTTGTACAGATGTACAGCAAACAGGTACAGGTAGTACTTACTTAAGGACAGTAATTGGGACTGGAACTTCCATCACTAAGTGATGTGGTCGTAAAGTGCAAATGTCACATGACCGTGCTGCTTAGCAACATAAATTCTGGCACTTCCAATTGCCATCATTAAGCAAATCATTGCAGATTGTTAAGGAAGTCATATGATTGCCATTTGAGACCTCCTACCGGCTTCCCCATTGACTTTGCTTGTAGGAGGCTGGCAAAGAAAGTCACAAATGATGATCACATAACCATGGAATGCTGCGATGTTGTAATTGTGAGCCAAGTGCTGAGCGCCTGGGTTGTGATCACTTGACTGTGGGGATGCTGCAACCAACATAAATACGAGGACCGGTTGTATCTACCACTTGTTCGGTACCATCGTAAGTTCAAATGGTTGCTGAACGAGTGGTTGTTAAGTGAGGACCACCTGTAGATGTGATGTTTGTGAATTAAACCCAACTTCCTTCAACCATTGGTGGTTCTTTTGGTTTTGCAGCACTTCACTATGCAATGTATTCTTTGGCTATCAGATACGATCCCTCTTATCCATCCCTCAGTTTGGAGAGACTTCATGATGTTCTACAAATTGTACATTTTAAAAAGAAAAAAGTACTACATGAACTTCAATGGATTTCTTTCTTACCAGCCACCTTACTTTGTTGTTTGTTAAGAATAATTTGTCAAACATTCTAAAGCTGTTTCTAGAAGGGAACAAAGCTTAGCATCACTAGTACACTTGAACTTTATATAGTCAGTTTGTTGTAATGCCCCAAACCATTTTTTTCATGCTGTGTCTTAGAAGAAAATAAGTATATAGGTCAACAACTCAGAGAATTTCCTTGTAGCATATAGTAACTGTTATTTTTTATTTATTTATTTATTTATTGGATTTCTCTCCCGCCCATCTCCCCTATAATAGGGGACTCTGGGCGGGTTACAAAGAGATTAAAACTATAAATATATATATGATACATACCATATATACAATTAAAACAATACTAGAAACAAAAAAATCCAAGAAGATGGAAA